AGACCCTTCATCAGAATTTTCTGATGAAGGGTCTAGGCCCGAAACGTCAGCCTTCCTGCTCCTGTGATGCTGTTTGGCCTGCTGTGTTCATCCAGCTCTGCACCTTGTTGTCTTGGAGAAACTCAGGTGCCTTAGCGGAGAGAGAAAAACAAAGTTAATGTTTTGAGTCCATTATCACTCCACTTTGGAGTTAATTCAGAACCAGACTGGATTTGGAAAACTAAGTATTTCCCTCCCCACAGTATATTCAAAAACTTAACTCATTACTAAAATTTTCCAGTCATGGCAACATGCTCATACATCTCCTCTACCATTTCTAGTGTAATCGAATCCTTCCTGTAATGTTGGGACCAGAATTGCATACTATTCAAGTTGCCAGCTAATCATTTAAACAGTTCTAACATACCTGTACGTTACACTGCTCTTATTGTCCAGGCTTCAACTAATAAAGGAAAACTTCCTAGCTACCTTGGTAAGCATCTTATCCACTGTCTTTTTCCTCTCTCTCTATTCATTCACAGGATGAGAGCATCACCTAAGAATTTATTGCCCATTCCTAATTGTCCAGAGGGCAGTTGAAAGTCAGCCACATTGCTTTGGGTCTAGAATCACATGTAAGCCAGACCATTCCATCCCTAAAAAGGACATTAGTGAACCAGCTGGGTTTTCACAAAAATCAGCAATGGATTCATGGTTATCACTAGATTCTCAACTCCTGATTTTTTTTATTGAATTCAAATTCCACCATCTGCCATGGTGAGATTCAAACCCAGAATGTTATCTTGGTCTCTGGATTAACAGTCCAGCAATAATACCACAAGGCCACTGCCTCCCCTGCTACCGTGAGAGACACGGATATGACTTCAATATCCTGTTCCTCTACACTTCTCAGCATCTTTCCATTTGTTCAGTATTCCCTTGCCTTGTTTGTCCTTCTAAATGCATCAGTTCACACTTCACAGGATTGAATTCCATTTGCCACTTGTCTCCCTGCCTGAGCAGTCTACTAATAGCTTGCTTCTTCACTATCAAACATGAGCATTCAAGCTTTTTAATTATTCTCCCTCGAGAGACTACATTTCCAGAACCTTGTTAAACTAAATTCAAAATCTGTGCAATGGTGGGATTTGAACCTCTCTGGATTACAAGGGCAGACCTCTTGACTAGTGATGGCAAAGTAACCAGTGCTCCTTTCTCATTTTAGCATGGACTAAGTGAGAATAGATGGACAATGGACATCACCTGGATTCAGTTCCAATTCCTCACTGCACATGAGAAAGGTTCCTAAAGCCACCCACATAAGCCACTTTAGAAAGGACTTAAGGAGCAGGGGTGAGGCTTCCTCCCATTCATACATGGGCACGTTGGTAGCCTGTGGTCTGAACTCCCACCTTGAGCTGATGGTCTTCATGGCCCAGAGGAAGAGATGGAGGTTCTACTTTGGGGGAAAAAGGAAGAACAAGGTCATCAAGATGGATGAAGCCCCAAATTCAATAGGGAAACACTCTCAGTAATCAGGACAATTTAATTGCAGATAGCAGGTAAATTTCTGATTTTGAATGGCTAGGAGGGACTTACAAGTCAAATTGCACTGGTCCACCTGATCAGAATAGAAAAAGGCAGTCAAACCCCATCCTCTGGTTTTGCACCATTCTTTAGCTCTTGCTATACTGGTATCTTTGACAAGACTGTAATGACAGGTTTTCTTCAGACAGCACTCAAGCCCAGGACACAAGCAGATCCCAGTAGCTCACCTGCCCTCTCATGACAGAGATCTGTTTGTAGAACTGTCCACGATCAAATCCTGGATCTTTCTGCAAAGGAAACAAAAATGGTTTAACTCCAATACTCTGAACCTGATTGCAAGTTCAACAAAAAAAAAATCACTGCCAAAGAAAGCCCCCTAGTGGAATTCAAGGTCTTTAGGCAAGCCACTTAACAGAAATGATTAAATCGATCCATTGCACAGGGAATGACATGAGGGCAGAATTTGACTCTGCTGTGAAGCCTGTGTGATTCATTTGCTGTCAAGACACCGAGTTAAGAAAGGGCTGCAGACAGAAACCAACAACCAGGAAACACAGCAAATGACATGGGGCACAATTCAATGCAGCAGACTAGCTGGTGAACAAAACTCAGCCAACCCAATTATCAGCTTTCACACCTTGGGCTTGGTGGAAAATAATAGGCAATAAGCAGCCCCTATGCACTTTGTTGCTGTGATCTGACATTCCACTCGAGTGGCTAGGGCTCTGATAACTGAAGACACAACAGGAGCAAACAACTGACATTTTTGCTACTCAAGCATATCAAGATACTGGTGTCAGTCAGACAAATTGCCCTTAGCCAATGTGTTCAGACAATACAATATTTTCTTTGCACCCCCCCAACTTGTAAAGTAAGATGCCAAGGAAATGTGATACTATTCTGTACCTGATAAAACTGCACCATAATGTTTTTTCAACATAGTGCTATAACACTGAAAGGCATGTTGTCAAAATTGAGACACATGTCAATTCATCATTAAGTGCCTCTAATTAACAAGGACACACCTATCATCATTCCTTACTCTGGTCTCAAGCAAGCACAATAATGCATTCACTAAAACTACAGATCAATTCACACTGCAAGACTTTCTTCCTTCCCTAGTTCAAATGGGAACTAAAAAATTTCACTGTCACACTTTGTAAGAAAATGATTGCCACTTTTTATTCAATTCATTCATGGGATGTCAGTATCACAGGCAATTGTGCTGAAAGCAACAGCAAGACACCTTCTTGAACTACTGTAGTCTGTTCTGAGAGAAAGTGAGCATTGCTGAGCTCCTGAAATTTATCTCTTCAGCCATAAAAACTGGCTAGTCTTCAAAAACCAGCCCATTCAATTTCACTCTCATGGACTTCCTAATCAGTGACTGTGAATGAGAAATGCATGTTCTCAGGTTGCTAACCTTGAAGAGTTCGTAAAGGTCCTCTTCCAAATCTTTCACAAAGTTTGGGTCAGAAATTTTTGGAAGAACAAGGTCCTTAATTTCCTGGGAAAATGGAATCTTCGCTTGAGGCAGCCAGGCCCAGTAAAAAGGATCTGCAAAAGAATAAAAGCATTGCTAAAAAAACTTTCCCATTTCTTGAAAGTGTTCTCTTGTATTTAATAATGATCAGGGCATGAGAGAGTTTCGTTACCCAAACAGTCCAACTCAACATATGCTCACTACACCCAACACCTTCTCCTGGTTCTATGTGTTCAATCAAGATTTTGATTGGATCATAAAACTCCAGGGTCGTGAAGGTGCAAGGCCTGATAATGCACAAATGCTAAGCTGGGGCTATTAGAATCCATTTTTCTTTAAACATCAGTTATAGCTGCTCCTCCTGCCTCTGCGTTCCACTCCAGAGTCTTCTGATAACGTATTCATAATGTAATATTCCGCTGCACAAAAAGTTTCAAGTGATTTCTACTCAAGCCCCAAGATCACACCTGACACTCAACCATTCATAGGTCTGTCTGATCAGTTGTCATTTGCCACATACTTGGAGATCAAAACCCAAAGTCAAAATTCAAACAAAGCTCACCATTTTAAGAGTTCTACAAAAAATTCTGTTTTGCATGATGTCTGAATTTAAATTTACTCACAGGCTCGCCAGGAGTCCGGGTGCTTCAAAGGGAAAGCCAAGCCATTGTCTATTGCCGCAATCTTTATAACAGGCTCTTTCACTACAACCCAGTCATTATCCTGTAAGAAAACACATGGAAAGACAAGATCTTTTCAAAACTGAAAGAACTGCAGATGCTGCAAACGTGAAGCAAAAATAGAATTTGCTGGAAAATCTCACGTCTGGCAGCATCTGTGGAGAGAAGTGAAAGTTAATGTTTCAAGTCCAGTGACTCTTCAGGAGACCATTTTTATTTTGGATTGCGAATCATAATGAGAAAAGGAAACCGCTTTAAACCAAGGAAACCATGAAATAAGATGTTGCAGTTTTAAAACAAGTTACTAAGTTCGTTACAAGTTGTATTTACACCGGCTTTTCTCAAGCAGCATTGGAGGGTGGGGGATGTTGTGGAGAGAAGCTGGAGACTCAAGGGAACAATGGGTGTGTTTGGGGCAGCTTTGTCTAGAAAAAGCCTGCCAATTGAGGGAAATAAAAAAAACGATAATCGGGACCACTTCAGTGTGTCAGGAGTGAAGAGCATGACGACAAATGCATGTTAAGCTATCCACCTGCCCAGGAGCCAGTGTGTTAGCACTAGAGGATAAAATCCCCAGACTATTTAAATCTCTGTCCATGCAGAGAAGTAACAAAGAATTGGAAGGGAGCTACCTATTCTCATTCATCATTTAACGTCTAACAAGCGACTGAGACACTGAACAGTTACAGTACCAACTGTCCTGCATCTCCATTTAGAAAGATCAGAGATCAGGTGGTCTTGGAAGAAGCAAATTGACACATCACTGAATCCTGTGGACGGATGCTAACAGCGTTCCCCTAATTTTTTTTTTCCCCCAACCATAACTTTTTTTTTGTTTATCATTGACTGTCTGCATTTGTTTGTGCAGGTTTAAGGGGAGGTAGAGTTTAGAGTCAAAGTTGTTTGCTTATGATTAGAGCACATTTTCTTGCATTAAAAAGTAATTTATTATTAAAGACAGAAACCTGGTCAGTGCTTTCTATTAACCCAAGTTCAGACAAGATTGGGATAATTTAAGTCTAACCTTTGTGATGATCTAGAGTGTAGTGGAATCACAGTATTAGCACACATTTCCCAACAGACTGATGGCTCTAGTTGAGATTATTTTGGACTAAAGGCAGAAAGGTTCGAGTGCAGAGTCGGTACTTTCCAAGTAGATGATAACACAAACAGCTTAACGCTAGTGTTCCCTGCTAAGTGTGTTACATGATTATAGGTGCTGCATTTTAAATTTAAAAAACTGGTTAACTTCATTGTGACTAGTGTTTCTGATAATGCTGCTAACATTTTATGCAGCAAGTGAGGGGTGCCCAGGTTAGACCTTGTGTCAACACTGGCTGATCTCAGACAAAGCAATGGTGAAGCAGTTAAAAAAACGCATTTAGGGCAAAGGAAAGATTGCTCAGGTTCCCATTCCTGATCATCTGGCGATCAGACCTACAAACACACTAAAGGAATTGGATACTATACACAGGGTGAATCAGTCCCTTTTGCAACGGCACACCTCCTCCCACCTCCTCAGTAAATAGCTCATTGACACTAGCCTAGATCTATAGTAGTATGGTGGCATCTGCACTGGGATGGAGGGAAGGAAATCTGCAAGACTAAAACTGTAATCATTTACATTAGCTTTGGGTAGTTCTAGTCTCAAATCCACCTATAATTTCACTGAAGAATTATGAATTATTTAGGACATCCTGAAATTGTGCGGCATGGCTTTTGAGGCTTTACTATGTCGAGCCAACGATATCCAATTTAAAACCAAGAGCAAAAGGTTATATAAAGGCCTGTTAGCTGCGCTTAAGTGAGATTTAAAGAAATCAGAAGCAGGGCGAGAGACAGTCGAGATCAGCTGCCTGCAAGGTGGCATGTTTCTGACGTTATATCTTAAGCAATCTCAGTGTTGGCTGAGTATTTAACCCTTTCAAAACCTTTGACTCATGTTTCAAACTTTAGGCACAACGCAATCAGCATGACTACGCAGCATAAAAACTATGCCACAGAGAAATCTCTTCAGCAGTCAAATATCTGGGAAACATCACAAAGAAGGAAGAAACTAATAATGAAGGAAGACAGTAATGAGAGATTGGTAGAGACAAATGCACTGCGAGCTGAAGAGAAACAACTGACACAAGAAAATACATGCCAAAAACAGGACAAATCAACAAACTGGTCACTGTCAAACAGAAGTGCTGGGGGATGTCCCCAGTTTCTGTAAAATTCATTCTTTACTTTACACCTTGCAACTCTAGCCATGTACCACATCTCTATGTTCTCATAGATGAAAATCACTGGTTAATCCTGTTTAAAGAACACAAAGCAAGGACTGAGGGCAGCTGGGGCCACAAAATGTCTTTGGCTTACAGGATTAAGGAAAATCCCAAAACATTTTATAAACACTTATGGAGCAAGAGGGTAGCTAGGAAAACGGTAGGTCCACTCAAGGACAAAAGGAGATGAAGTGGGTGAGGTCTTTCACAAATACTTTGCATCCACATTCACAAAGGAGAAGGAGATGGTAGACGATGGGTGTCACTATGGAGAGTCTAAAGATGGGTATGTTGATGTCCCAAGTTACGTCAATTAAAAAAGTGTTGTTTTGAAAAGCATTAAGGTAGATAAGGACCTGATGTGACATATCCCAGAAGGCTGAAGGAAGCAGGTGAAGAAACTGCTGAGGCCTTAAATGTAATCTTTGTATTATCTTTAGTCACAGGAGAGGTCCCAAAAGGGCAGGAGAATAACCACCGGCACTCCTTTGCTCAAAGACGACATTAGGGATAAACCGGGAAAGTACTAACCACTGAGCCTTACCTCAGTGGTAGGGAAATTATTGGAGAAGACTCAGAGGATGATATTTACTCACACCTAGGAAAATAAGGACTTATTAGCAATAAGCAGCATCACTGTGGGGAAGGTGATGTTTCACAAACTTAGTTGAGTTTCTTTGAGGAAGTATCAAAGATGATTAATGAGGGCAGGGCAGTAGATGTTATCCATATGGACTAATAAGGCCTTTCACAAGATCTCTCATGGCAGGCTGATACAAAAGGAAGTCACATGGGATCTGTGGAGAGCATATATGATGGATACAGAACTGGCTTGGTCATGGAAGACAGTAAGAGTGGAAGGGTATTTTCAGATTGGAGATCTGTGACCAGTTGTGTTCTGCAGGATCATTCCTGGGACCCCTGTTGTTTGAAATGATTTGGAGGAGAATGTAGGTGACCCGATTAGTGTGTCTGTGGATGACACAAAGACTGGGGGAGCTGCAGATAGTCAGGAAGATTGCCAGAGACTACCATAGGATTATAGATAGGTTGGAGAATTAAGCAGAGAAATGGCACATGGAGTTTAATCCAGACAAACATGTGGTAATGAATTTTGGGAGATCTAATGCAGGAGGCAAGTATACAGTCAATGGCAGAACTCTTAGTTGCATTAACATACAGACAGGTCTACATGTACAGGTCCACAGATTGCTGAACATGGCAACACAATTGGATAAGGTGATCATCAAGACATATGGTATGCTTGCCTCCATTGGTCTGGGCAGTGTATAAAAATTGGCAAGTCATGTAGTAGGTGTACACTACTTTAGTTAGGCCACATGTGGAACACTGTACAGTTTTGGTTGCCACACTACCTGAAGGATGAGGCGGCTTTGGAGAGACTACAGGAACTGTTTACCAGGTTGTTATGTGGTTTTTTTTGGGGGGTATTAGCTATGAGAAGAGATTGGTCAAGCATGGTTTATTTTCACTTGAAAATTGAAGGACCTGATAGAAGTTTACAAAATTGAGAGATATGGATAGAATGGATAGTCAGTCTTTTTCCCCCCCCAGTGTAGAAATGTCAATTGCTAGGGAACATAGATTTAAGATAAGGGTGCGAGTTTATAGGAGATGTAAGAGGCAAGTTTTTTTTTTTTTTTTAAAAGAAACAGAGGGAACTGCCTGGAATGCACTGCAAGAGGCAGATATATATCAACATTTAAGAGGCATCTTGACAGATATATCAATAGGCAGGAAAGAGGTAAAAGGACCGCAAAGAGGTGAAAGATTTTTAGTTTGAAGCGCAATCTTGTTAGGCTGAAGGGCCTGTTCCTGTGCTGTACTGTTCTTTGTTCTTTGAAGTTCACGAGGGTAGAGGTTCTTCTAGTGCTGCTGCCTCGCTAATGGATAATCCCCAAGTCAAAGTTTGCATGAGCACTAAAAATATCAACTCATTAAAAAGGCATGCAGAATTAACCATAGCCATTATGCATGGCTCTGTAGTATGAACATATTTCCAAAGACAAAAATACTGGAAAGCAGTAATTCTACCCACCTTTGAACTGCCACTATCCATTGGACAGTCATATTTGATCAGCCAATTATCATTACCTCGATCTGTGGAAAAAATGAATTTGTGATGAAACATTTGTTTATCAACTCCACCCCCCCACAATTTACACTTTGTTCCCCTACTCTCGAACTCTATGCACAGGCACAGGCTAACTGAACTGACTCACCCATACTGAAACCAACCAGCTCACAAACAACCAGGAACCAGAGCTTCCATGGTTTGTCTGGTTCTGTACATTAGGCTGAAATTTACCCATTCAGCTATGAAAAAGACTCTTCTTTGGCAGCATGGCAAGAAAGCTTGTAGATACTTCCCTCATCCACAACATGCGCTCTCATATCTAAAATTGAACATTTACACAAACTCAGTACAACTCCGTGGGGGAGAACATTGCTACAAACAAACACGTACCCATTTATTCCTAATCACCTTTCTCTCCTATTCATCTCATCTACTGAAACACATTCAACAGCATTTGCCCCAGGCTTTACATGAAGGACTGGTAACATACCTGACCTGGAAAGGAAATTAGAGAATATCACAAAAGTAAGGTTCACAATATTGAATAGCCATACAGCCTTAAGTTATTCTTAAGGAGCCAGGTGAAAGCATTTTTAATGAAACAATAAATGAAATTGCAGGAACTCTGACTACTCTGAAGAGATGCATTTGAAATTTCAGAAAGGAAAGTTACATCCTTACTTTTTAAAAAGATACTAACCACGCCCCAGGAATTTCAGGCCGGTGAGTTTAATGCCTACTGTGGGTCAAGTTACAAAAAGCCTGAAAGATACAATGGAGGCAATTTGTCAAGGCTGCATCCTTGTCAGGAGCAGCGTACGTCCAAAATCTGCAGAGGAGCCCAATTTCTAAGAAGAATCCAAGGATAAGCATTATCCCCATCATCACTAAGTGGCCACAACCAATATCCTTGGGCTACAGGGAACAGCTTAGTGGCAAATGCCAATCTTATTCAATAGCTTCTAACTTACACCTAAAAACCATTGACTTTTTTTCGCAGATGCTGGCCAACCTTTCCAGGTCAAGCTGAAACCTCACTCCACTAAAAGCACGCATCCTCTTGGTCAAACTACAAGCACATCCAACACCTCAAAATTTCAGGACGGCTTCAGCATTGGATCAAATATACCAAGTCCAATCCAGCTGCAAGGGAGAAGTAGCCCAACATCGTAATGGTCAAGAAAAGACCTGTCAATAACACACTCACCTAGCACATACACGCACATAAACACAAAGAATTGCCCCCAGAAGCAAGCGCCCTTGTTGGAGAAGCACTTCCAATGAGGAGTTAACCCCTTTGGAACAGGACAGGAAATTGGCAATATGCCTTGCAATACTGGCCTGTGTTCCTGATGATGTAATCCAGAACCACAAGCCGCTCAAATTGCAGTTGCAGCTGGTGATTGGTTTTTTCAGGTAAGGGCTCCGCTTCAAACCTCCGCAACCAATAATCGGCATCTTTATAACCTTCTACAAACAACTGGAAGGAACCAACCTAGAAAGGAGTATGGGGAGGAAGCTCAAGTTATCTGAACCCATTTAAGTTGGACAATTGCTTTGTGATCACATCAGTACTTTACTATCATTATCTATTAGAAAAGGCAAAAAATAATTACTAAAATGACAACAAAATGGAGAGTTTTTTTCATTCATCAGGAAAAGATTATAAACAACTACATGTCTTATCCTTTGGAAAGAGCAAGCTGATATATATGAAAAGTCCTTCTATGTGCAGTTGAGACTACAACCAGACGCCATAAGAATTTTTATCAGAAAAGATCAGTTAGAATGTAGAATTTACTACCATAATTTGAGATCAATACCAAACAGACTAAGATGAAGCAGCATGCATACAAGGAATGGAAAGGTAGGAGCAAATTTGTGAAGTTTGAAGTGAAGGGCCTGATGTCATGCTGTTAACATTATGTTACACCATGAGATACTCATTTTAAGACACCACTGGGGTCCACAATCCACCTCAGGTTCCCCCCCTACCCCACCGTGATATCCAATTAGAACTCTTTCCATAGAACCTTTAATGATCCAAACAACATGAAAAGTGAATAATGACTAAAATGAGTATACAAAATGCCACAAGTAATTGTTAACCATTAAATTAGATTATCAGCAGAGATCATTAGACACCTTGGCCTTCAGCATTCAAATGTGACAGAAGGCCCAAATATACCATGGGATCCTACGTGGTCCGTTTACAAAAAAAGAAAAAAATTGCCACCTCCACCTTCAAATAAACACATGAACGTGCCCTCCTGACATTCATGCAGAAACCTCACATTGGCTTGTCTCCCATCACCAAGCCAATTCACTGTATTGGACAAGGACCAATACAGTAACTGAACTCGATCCTTCTAAGGATGCAGAACATAAACAGCGCCTGGTTTCCAGTCCTTTGTTTGGTTATGGTAGCTGAGACAGCAGTACAGCTGTTAGTGTGCACCTTTCTGGAATCTTACATAGATAGATGGATCAATTTGGTGGGCAGTGGAGGGATGCATGGCACTAAGATGACATCAGGAGAGTTGGTCAACAGGTTGGACAAATGCACAAGAAATGCAGAGGTGGAGAATTTTAGGGAAGAAATCTCAGAGATTATGATTCATTATGATCCAGTACCTGAACGTAACTACGTACAGCGTAGAAATATTTCCTAAGCTACCTAAATTATTAACAGTGCTACAGAAGGAGACATCAGGACAAGTGACCAAAAACAGATCGGGGGGTGGGGGGGGTGGATGGTGGGTAGATGAGGTCAGAGAGGGATTAAAAACAAGAATGAAGATACAAAGAGGTACTACTGTACCTAACCCTGCAAACATTGGGAATAGTGGATGAACGAGACAACATACTGAAGCACATCCAGTAGCATCCCAACTGCCCTCCCAGGTTACATTTCCTACCATTTTTCCTGCTGCTGAATAGACCTCCAAAGCAGACATAGCCAAGAGGGAACAAGGTGTACAGCTGGATGAACACAGCAAGCCAAGCAGCATCATAGGAGCAGGAAGGCTGACGTTTCGGGCCTAGACCCTTCATTTCCTGATGAAGGGTCGAGGCCCGAAACATCAGCCTTCCTGCTCCTACGTAGCTGCTCGGCCTGCTGTGTTCATCCAGCTCTACACCTTGTTGTCTCAGATTTTCCAGCATCTGCAGTTCCTACTATCTCTCATAGCCAAGAAGGAATATTGCTTCCAAGATAGGGAGAGAAATATATTGAAAAATGCACATCCCCATTCAGTGCAGCAGGAAAGAAGTGTTGAAACAGAGCGTAGAACAGTGACATTAATTAGTAGCTGGTACCTTAGGAGGTAAACCAATCCTGTGAAACCGCTGCCCAACTTTTGGCACTTTCTCAAGAGCCAGTTTCTTCCCCCTGGATTTCACCCGATCAATTGCACTGTAGTTAAAAGTCTCACTTGCTAAGTGCACCACCTGCAGAAAGAGGGGTAAATCACAGGATTAAGAAAAACGCAGCATAATACATTTTAATGCAATGCTCAGCCCTATTTTGGAATGCCCTACATGAGGTGCAAACTTTGTGATCAGAATATGCTGATACTACTTTGCTGGCACTACTTTGCTGACTGTCAAGTCTTCCACCATCTGGAACAAGACAAAGTTGCACCTTTGGAGAGTGAAAGGTGAGAACGTATCAATGATTATTATAGAGTAAGCAATTGCACATGATTTATGCTGAACACTTGTTGCTTCAAGTCCCAACCCCTGTTCAAGCCAGGCAGAGCTCTGCTCATAACCTACCCAGCCACCGCACTGACCATGTTGGAATTGTACAGTATTCAACTTCCTTTTCTTTAGCAGAAATAACATTAGCAGGAAATACAATAAGAAACCCCAAAATGCCCACGCAAACATTTACAATCACATCTTTAAAATAGAAGATAGTCAAAACTGACATCAAGCTAAAGGAGCAGAATTACAGGCACTGATTGAAAGAGGAGGTTCATCTTTTATGTGACCAGTGCTGAGACAAATGAAGGGAAACACAAGTTGGAGCAAAAGACTTTGTACACTTAGACACGTCTCCACTGTATTAAGGATGAATGAAACCGCCCCACTGAATTACAAGTACATGCCCAACAGTTTCTTTTCCTGTTGGAAATGGTATTGAAATGTTATTTGGCGACAGAGGCAGGACCAAAACTAGCTCAGCACAGGGAGATGATGGACATAAATCCATAAAACAAAAGTCTGCAATGTATTATGACTGATTGTACTTTAACCAGCTAGATCTAGGGCATCTGATACTGAACATAAGTGCAACCAACCTCAGCTGCAGGTACTGATGCTTTGCAAAGCAGCACCAGCTCACTTACTTGGTCTATTCAGTGGCTCATCCTGACAGCTGTGTGGCATTTAAGTGTAGAAACCAGCACTGCTCAAAGGTTCCATAATTGTCATATGGAGTGACCAGAGAGAGAGAAGTTCATTAGGTTTGATCTCAAGTGGTTGCATGTGGCATCTTGTGCAAGAATAGGACCAAGGTAAAATCGTGCAGTGAAAGACTCAGGCACTCAGTCACTGGACTGCTGTCAACAGCTGTGGGGTTGTGTTTAGGATCAGTCTATGCTTTGGGAAGAGGGCAAAGACAGCGAAAGATATAAAGCACAGAGTCCAGTGCCCTACCTTAGTCCTCGGTACTATGTTAAGCCCCAGTTTCTGGTCCACCAGGCTGGCCCCTGCCTCTGAGAGATAGCCCTGATTAAGAACGAGACAGTCTCTGCCAAAGCAGCACGGACAGCACAGTTTCTGTAGCCACTTGGTCCATTTAGGGTTCAGGTGACCATATGGTTCTTCATTTTTTGGTTTAAAAACACCTATAAATTTCTGGACAGATGAAAAGAATGAATAAGTCTATTGACTCGCATCAATATTTGAACAGCTTTAAACAAGTCAAAAAGCAAACCTTTATATCAAAGTGACTCTGAATGTGTTGGTGTTGATGAGTTATACCCAGGTTAACTACAGCGTTACAATTCCAAGAGAAATCGATATTAAGTTTCCAGGGACTGACTAAAAGGATCACACTACAAAATATCACATTTTAAGACTTCTATTAAAACAAACCAAAAACAACATTGTTCAGTGGCCAATTTGATCTTAACTACAGAAAAGAAATTTTCCATTTACACTGATTTAAACCTGAGAGACTGAGAAGAGTAGTCTACTCAGTCAGCACCATCGTTCTTACCATTACCTACAGAAGTGAACAACTTGTACTCTTTTCCCAGTGAGTTAACTAGCCTCCCTCAACCCCAAATCCATAGCAACTAAGTCACCCAGTCTGGCTGTTGACCAGATTTTACATGAGCCCTCACTATGCCATTTTACCTGAATTAAGTCTTGTGGAATAGTCACTGAATACCTTGGCAAAGAGGTTGTCCACGTTCAAAAACTATAGCCACTACCCACACGAAACACAAGCTGATACATTTTATATTAGAGTTCTTGTGATGTAGTGGTAGTGTTCCTATCTCCGGGCCAGGGTTCAAGTCCCACCTGTTCCAGAGATGTGGAATAACATCAAGTTAGTTAAAAATCTGTCTATACCCATGATCAAATTTCATATTTTGAAACAAGTTTAGCAGATTAATATTGCTTCTACATTGACCCCTTAAGCTTTGATTCTATCAGGAAAAACACTTGCGTTTTCAGGGAGATACCATTCCGAACTAGCCATCCTCCTGGTCAAGGTTGCTAATTTAGCATCAGATTTGTATAAGTGGAATGTAAATCTAATCAGGAATAGATTTCTTCCCAGAAGTCAGGGTATCATCCACTATGCCTCACATTGCTCTGTAAACATGCCTTCCCCAACACACCAACCCCACCACACACACAAAAAGAAAAGTCCCTGCTTTACAAACATTAGCTCAGGGACATTCATTTTGGAATCCACTCACATGCACGGTTGAATCTCATCACCAAAGTGTCAATACACTAACCTCGGTCCAGCAATCTGATGTTAAAACAAACTGTTTCTTTTCATTATTTCAAATGTGTAAAGATCACAAGATACACTGACGACAGTCTTTTCCCAGACTCAGCCACTCCTAAAATTATGCAATTAAATCATCCCAGTATTTCCTCCAACCGCGCAACTGAATTTCAGGTGTGGGTCAACAATATCAATGCAAAATTCGCCATTGGACCAATACTTTGTTCTGTTACAGTTTAGCCAAAATTGGTAGGTCGGGTTTCGCACCCAGCGTATCATGAGGTCCCCTTCTCAAGAGGATTCAAGGTCAATACAGCAAAGCAGCAGAGGGTAAAAAAGGACTTTCATTGCATTTTCCATGACCATTGGGCTTCTCCCAAAATACTTTGCAGTCAATGAAGTGTTTTTTTCAATGTGCAGTCACAGTTGAAATGTAGGAAATGTTGCACCCAATTTGCACACAGCAAGCTCCCACAAACAGCAAAATAGCCATCTTACAATCTGGTCCCATAATGTTGATTGAGGGGTAAATATGGACCAGGATCAGGGAGAACTCCGCTAGTCCACTTCACTTGATGGCATGGATTTTTTCAGACCCCCTCATGCCCCACCCAATGCCATGGCAGACAGGGTCTCAGATTAATACCTCACCCAAAACAGACAGAAGCTTTGCTCACATGCATTCTGGGTCCATTTAGTTACTGCATCTCTGCCAGGCTACACGTGCACCTACTTGTTTGTAAGTTGACAAGCCTTACTATCTTGTTCAAGTGAACATATCACCAAACTAATTTGCACTGATAACATCCAAGATAACTGGACACAAGTCTTAGCTCCTTGTGCAGCCTGTAATTCATTCATGGTGAAAAATCTGAAGGATGTGGATTGAGAGGCAAAGCTACAGTTAACTTTAAAAAGTGAGACTTTCCTGTTCAATTGAGTTACATAAACCCTCTGTACTGAATGTAAAACATAAGCCATTATGAGTCTGAGCATAGAATTGGGTTTAGCTTTGATGTCTCAGAGATAGTCTCTCAGACCAGCCACTGGATGGAAAAAGTGTCCATTTACCATCTTAAAGGAGGTTTTAGCAACCAGTTACTCACTGAATATTCTCACTATTGTAAAAAGGTCATTTGACAGCAGCCATATACACAGGCCGAGTACATAAAGCATATCTCAATACTACACCTCAGATAGGGTTCAGGAAGTGGAGGGAATGAAGCCAAAATTCCAGCTGCTGCACAGAAACCACATACTGAATCCTTTAAAATGGGCTCTCATTTCTGTCAAACTTGTGCCAGAATATGATTCTGCAGTGTTTCAGACGAAACATTAAACTGAAGACCCTTGTACCCTCTCCAGTGGGCATTAAAGATCTCTCAGTCACTATTTTGATGCGCAGTAGAGTTCTTCCTGGCATTCAGGTAAATACTTAACATACAACCAAAATCAGAGATAAGCCAGTTTATCATATCACTGCTTGCAACACTTTGCTGTGTACAAACTGGCTGCCATGCTCCCCACAAGAAAACTGACGCAACACTTTTAAAAACATGTGCAGATAATTCACTGGTTGTAAAGCTTTGAGACATCCTGGGAAAAGCTCCATCTGATTATCAATGCACTAAAATATTGTGTATAGTAGAAATCACCATACAAGTTAAAAAAGAAGCCTATCACAACACCCAAGTGCCTTCAATCTTTGGTAAGACTGTCCAACAGTTTAGCAAATTCAAACCAAATTGGTCTTTGTTATTAAAACCAAAGGCAAAGTATCACAGTCCTCGGTGCAGCACAACACCATGACTAAACAAGTTGTACAAGGATGACATATCAAGGCAGTAATGCTGAAGATGTTATCACTTTTCTATTTAAAGCAGTTTCAAATTATAAAATGACAATGTCAGGATTTAAAGGTTGGGTATGCGTAGATCAGTAGTGAAAAAGTGGAAGGGGAATTTTATAGCTGCAATAAGACCCCAGAATGCAGTATATGTCTGGAGTTGAGGCCTAGTGTGACTTAGATGCAGGATTCTTTACTTTGGTCTAGATTTAAACAAACATTAAGAACTTATAGCACATGCGCAGCTAAAACTGAAGCAGACACTAGGATAGGTTACAACGGCAGAGGGATGAGCATATTGACCACATCAACCTGCACAGAATGCTACAACATAGAAAGAGGCCATTCAGTCCATCTTATGCAGCTGTATCAAATTCCATGGGCTCATCCCTACTTTGCCTTTGTCCCGACAACTACTTTCCCTTCCAGCAATGATGCAAATCCTTTCTCAAAAGTTACTACTGAATCTACTTCTGTTGCTCTTTGAGACAGCACATTGTAGACTCAAAATCAAAAACCTGTGTTTATATAGACATAGGAATGATGTAGTAAATGCCCAAAATTTGGCAGCTAAAGGAGATAAAGAAATCCAAGGAAAGGTTTGGCCAAACACGAGTCTTGAGCAGGAGAGGGTGAATGAGAGCTGGTGTGGTTTAGGGCAGGGCTTCCCAAAGTGGGGGTAATGTCATGAAGTGGAGTCAGAGCTAAAACTTTGAGTTGGAGCACTCTAAGCAGGCAATGGCTACTATGGAGCTCTGACCAAGGTGTATTCCCTCTATAACAGGTACCAACTCTCACTGAGGTATTGTGACAATTTTCAGGCCTCAAAATGGGGTCGCAGTGGGAAAGGGTTTGCAAAGTGCTGGTTTAAAGGGAAAATTCTAGGCTGCGGGGTCCTTGAAATACAAAGGATTAAATACTAATTGTAGGATTATGAGGGGGGGGGGGGGGGGAGGAGAGACACACAAAAAGCTGGAGTCAGAACTCTAATATAGGGGAAAAGGATTTAGGGGACAGAGTTTGGATGCAACAATTCCACAAGAGATTTAAACACCAGGACAAAAATTTTAAATTCAAAGTGCTAACTGAGCAGCAGCCAACATCAGTAAGAAAGGGATGACAACTGCAAACAAATAAGTACCAAATGTCTCCCCCTCAAGTAGTTCAAACGGTCAAAGAAATAAATTCCTGCCTCATTTAATAACAGCCAACCAGACAGTCCTCAACTGATGCTTCAGATGAACTAGTTCCTTTACTGCAAATTTGATTCCCATGAGATATTTACTTTGGGAACTGGAAATATTCAAGGACACAGATGATTTGGATAGATGTTCATCCCACCATTTCACATGCTCTCAATCTGGAAACACATCTGGTTTAGATTCAAACAATGTATTGCACAAGCTTTCCCCTGATGTCTTCCTTCACACAATTCTTTTATCAACATTTGGCCAACTTTACACCTTGTTCTTAATTTGCCTCCAGTTTTTGTTTGGAGCCAGCCCTGAAAAGTTTAAGCTAGCTTGTCATAAATTGAACCCACCAAAGAAGAGGGGCGAGTTGAGAGAAAAGAAATCAGTGTACAGAGGCTGTGATTTTGAGCTTAGTTCAAGGGAAATGTCAATCACCATTTCCCACTGAGACATTTCATCTTAAAAATTACCTATTAAGCAATGCAGTTTTAAAAGTTTGAATTCGGCATGTCTCCAAAGAACACTACTTAGCAACTGTTCAGAGGGATAACTGGCCATAACGACTACCACATTATGCAATGAGTCGGCCCAAGAGGACAGAATTGAAACACCCTCATGACCTAATAATCTCAATTGCCCAAATAGCAGCTCTAAGAGTTGCACTGGACCCTTGAAGGAGTCTAGAACTAGAAGACAGTCTTCCATGAAAGGAGATGAGAAAATTTTGTCTCCAAGGTTCACCGGTGTGTGGAACTCTACACCAGAGAGCTGTGGAGGCAGATTCTTGATTGCCCCCAAAAAATTGTGTCAGTCAGGAACATAGAGTTGAGACTACAATCAAGTCAGCAAT